ATTTGCATATATCCAATGAAGTTGCAGTATTTCTTAAAATTTTGGTTGTAACTTAGTTTAAGTTTTCGTGAATAAGGGCCCTGATTTCTAGTTGTGTCCAGCTTAAAATAAGTGTTTAATTTACAAGTATTTAATTTCCTGACTAGTGTTCAAAAGTTAATCATTATACATAAATAATGAATTAGGCTGTTTATTTTTTAACAGTAATCGAGAAATTAAATACTTGTAAACTGGATACTCATTATCAAAATTAAATGGTCAGCTTTAAACTGGACACAAGTAGAAATTAGATGATTTTTGGTGATTTTAAAAGATTTTTACGTATAATTAAACAAGGATTTGATATTGAATGAATGTGAAAGAAAATAGTGCTAAATACACAGGATTAAATGATACGTGGGTTATAGTGTAATGCCCCAGTAAACACAATAAAAAGATATGAACACTTATAAAACGCATAAACACATAATAATCTAACACAGGGTAACAATCAAATACACTTATTTTGTTGCATATTCTGTATATATTTGCCTACTATTCACATACCTGTATCATTTGCTTGATAAAGACGAGATTATCCTCGTCGAAACGTCGCTTAGTATTAAACTCAGTAATTGTGTATCCGTAAAATTTTACCTTATGTTAATATGTTCAATTACTAAATGCCAATCAAAGATGACACAATAATCTACTAATACAATAATTCTAAAATTTCTAGAGCTGGTTCTAGAGTTATCACTAATTATTTTACACAAGGGATTGCGGAACAGAAAAGATTTTGAGCTGGGATTAAAAGACGTTGTTTACATATGTGTTTTTATCTAATTAGCGTTTTGTTTATATTCTGTAATAAAATTCTACAGATTAATTATATAAGTAGGAGCTTGAGGCTGGTGCCAGAGGAACTGGTACCATGTAAATATGCCAGGAGATATTATCATATTTCACAGATATCGACCACTAATTGATCTGATTAAGGTAATAACTTGATATTATACACAGCCAGGAGATATTATTGTTATTATACAACTGTATCTAAATAGAGAGGGAGAGAGAGAGAGAGAGAGAGAGAGAGAGAGAGATGGGTTTAATGTCCACTTGACACAAACTAGGTCATTTCAGGACTAACATATGGTTTAATTTTATTAATAATTCGCTTGCACGTAGGGGTCTTTAGCAGTGGGAGAAAACCAGAGAGAGAGAGAGGGGGGGTTAATGTCCACTAGACATAAATTAAGTCATATGATTCAATTTCATTTCAATAATTCGCTTGCACGTATAGAGGTCTTAAGCAGCGAGAGGAAACCAGAGGACCCGGAGAAAACCCACGCGGTTGGACAGGCATACCTACTCCTTGTCACGTACAACCGGGGAATCGAAACTACGCCACAGTTGACTCAATGACAGACCTTATGATACACTGTGCACACGTTAACCATTGTATTGAAATTCAAAAAAGAGTAGGCATCACTATAACCTGGGTATAATTTAATCTTGTGTATCTAGCACTAATTTCTTTCACATTCGTTTAACATCAAATCTTGGTTTAAAAATTCATAAAAATCACCCAAAATCATCTAATTTGTACTGGTGTCCAGTTTAAAGCTGACTGGTTAATTTTGATAATGAGTGTCCAATTTATAAGTATTTAATTTCCTGACCACTGTTCGAAAAATAATCATTATACATCAATAATCAATTGGGCTGTTTACTTTTTAACAGTGGTCGAGAAATTAAATGCTAGTAAATTGGACACTCATTATCAAAATTGAATGGTCAGCTTTAAACTGGACACAAGTACAAATTAGATGATTTTTTGGTGATTTTAAATAATTTTTGCAAATCATTAAGCAAAGATTTGATATTGAATGAATGTGAAAGAAATTAGTGCTAAATACACAAGATTAAATGATTCCCAAATTATAGTGATGAAGGCCTCTGTGCAGGTATTAGAAGCTTTCTTGGATTCTGAACATTTTAATTCTAGAGATAGTCAATTCCATAAATATGGTGGCTGCCGAGAGAATGTTCGAACTAACATGTGGTCATTGTTGCATGTCTACGTGCAGGTCCAGGTGGTGCTAGAGGGAAGCCAGGGTATGGACCCTTGTACACCACAGAGGTTATTTTTTAGCATTCATAACAAACTTCAACTAACAAATCAAATGAAGAAATTTGTGATATGTTACACACAAAATGGCAGAAAAACACTATTGATGATTTCACAGAATAAAAAAAAATAAAGAGTTAGATAGGCTTACCATTTTTCCCATGGTCCCCACACTTCCCTTGACGGTCCTTGTTATGTATGCACTGTCATAATACATGAGAGTACAGTGTTCAAAGCAAAACCGAGACCACTCTTCTGATACACGTAGGTTACTTTCCCCGCTGGGTTAATATTTTACCACTTGCACTTCCCCAAATAGCCTGTAACTTAGTGCTTCTTAGACAATCCAAAACTGTAAGTTTCATGAGAATAGATGCTGTGCCTGCAGGAACTGGTATACGGACCAACCACAAGCAGAGCTATTTACATGTTACAGGCTATTTTGGGCAGATCAAGTGCTTCATGGACAACGCAAAACGGGAAGAATCAACGAGAATAGATGCAGTGGCCGCAAGAACTGGTATAAGAATCTACAACAAGGAGAGTTACTGATGGCTCAAGGCAGTTGAGAGAGAGAGAGAGAGAAATGGGGTTTAATGTCCACTTGACACAAACTAGGTCATTTCGGGACTAACATATGGTTTAATTTTATTTCAATAATTCGCTTGCGCATAGGGGTCTTTAGCAGTGGGAGGAAACCGGAGGACCCGGAGAAAACCCACGAGGTTGAACAGGCGACCCTACTCCTTGTCACGTACAACCGGGGGTTCGAAACCACGCCAGTTAACTCAATGACAGGCCTTATGATACAGCCGGCACGTGCTAACCATTCTGTCATCCACCCCCCTTTAGGCAGTTGAAAGAATATATATATATATATATACCTGCAGGAATTATATCATTTTTCTCTTATTTTCTTCTAAGAACCGGGGTAATCATTAAATATATGAACCGAGTGCTAAAGGGAATGAGGGGTTGGATGGCTGAATGGTTAGCAAATGCCCGCTGTATCATAAATTCTATCATTAAGTCAAGTAGCGTGGTTTCGATTCCCCGGTTGTACGTGACAAGGATCAGTAGGGTCGCCTGTCCAACCTCATGGGTTTTCTCCGGGTCCTCTGGTTTCCGCACACTGCTAAAGACCCCTATGTGCATGCGAATTATTGAAATAAAATTAAACCATATGTTGGTCCCGATTGTCAAGTGGAGTTAAACTCTCTATCTCTCTCTCTCTCTGCTAAAGGAATAATCTGCACATCACCATAGAAAAGAAGATCAGGTCTAAATATTAAGACCTCCTGCAGATTTCTCTATGGTTAAGGCACATGATTGTTGACGAGATGGTGAGCTAGGGTTAGGGTAAGGGCTAGATCTAGGGCTAGGATTAGAGTTAGCGCTAGCCCTGTTTACCTCTCGTGACTATGACGACAATCTGCAGGTGTCCTTAATATTTAGACCTGACCTAGAAAAGTATGTTAGTCTAAAAATCACAATAACAAAATGATTGACAAGATTTTCCTTTCTATCAATTATGATTGATGCAGGTTACATATGGCATTTCAAAGATCAGGACTAAAGTCATGAACTTCCAGTGTATGAAATTTATTGACTTGATAAGTAAAGACTAGCAGATACATTCTTAAATGTCACAAGAAGAAGTTTCCACAGTAATTAAAGGTCAGAACAGTTATCATTCTCCCAGAGGAAAAAGACGAGGAATATGTAGTGTTGTGCTGTGACACCATATGAAACAAACTCTGCCATTCCTCCACTAAAAGACCTGATTTCACCCTGTGACATTTCCAAGAAACAGAATAAAATTGATGAATGCATCGACGACACTTGGCAGATGTGTCATCAGTCAGTATTATTATTCACAATGTCCTTATTAGTTCCGGGATTTTTTTTTTTTAACATTGAAAAGTTTTTGATTTTTCATAGAAATAAAATAAAATCTGTGACATATAACATAATTTTGCCCGGGCAGTGGCACTATTGCCTACTCTTATATCGAATTCCAACTGCCAAGAGATCTTTTACGTGCATTCCAATGTATACACGGGACCTCAGTTTTTCATCTCATCCGAAGGAATAGACAGCTATTCTTGTCAGGCCCTCCGTCCTGCATCACTGACAAGGGGAAACCACCCTGGAATATCTGGATGAACTTTCTCGGCCAATGCAGGGATCGAACACCCGACCTCTAGGCTAGCGAGCAAGCGTCTTACCCACTTAGCCACGTGATCCCCCATTTCACACCTGGAGCAAGGGAAGATAACTAGAGAATTTTCTAGAGATGGTATTTTATAAAGTTTCGATTATGGAAGAAAAAGTGAAGCAGGACTTTGTGCTTACTTTAAGAATTTTCTAGGAACCAGGTCCAGGTCTGGAGCAAGGGAAGATAAATAGAGGACATCATTAAAGATTTCCTATATCCTGGTCGGTATAAAACTATCTGTTTAGCACCTAGAAATGGACACAAATGGGTCGCAACACAAATAATAATGTAAAACGAATGTATATAAAGTGATTTTACATTCAATCGTTCTGTTTTTATTGTAATTTCTAATCAATATGCAAAAGAAATGGAGTTTAACTTCCACTCCACACAAACTAGGTCATTTCGGAACTAACTTATGGTTTAATTTTATTTCAATAATTCACTTGCGCATAGGGGTCTTTATCGGAGGGAGGAAATCAGAGGACCCGGAGAAAACCCAGGAGGTTGGACAGGCAACCCTACTCCTTGTCAAGTACAATCGGGGATTCGAAACCACGCCAGTTGACTCAATGACAGGCCTTATGATATAGCTCGCACATGCTAACCATTCTCGGCCATCCAACCCCCCTACAACAACTAAAAGATATTCAATAAAAAACAGCAGCTCACCAGCCAGTTCTTCTTTTCTTCGCTTTTCATACTTTTAACAGCCTTTTTCCACATTCCCTTGATGGTGGCCGATGAAGGCTTCTCTTTCTTCTCATCTCCATCAACCTCTTCCTCCATTGTACCGTTTTGTTTTGGTGTCAACATATCAAGCTGAAAAATAATATGGTAAGAATGAACAGAAGAATATCGCTTAAACATACATTATGCAAGAGCTAAGTCTGTCTATTGCAGGTATTTCTTTAGGCCTGAAATGTTATCTAAATTATTAATTAGACATTAATTAACCTATCCAGACCACAATCAACTCTAGATGGCATCACTAGCCTGCAATCTTTAGTGGATTGTGAGCTGATTTACTGCATAACTTTCCTTCACGATTTAACAATTAAATGGATATTCAAGACTATGCTGTTTATCGTATTGACTTTAGTAATGATGATCAAGGCTAGGCAGAAATTTCAATCGCTTAGATCTTGGTTCATAGTAGATCAATTTGAATGAAATTTTCAGCAAATTGCCTTTACATTATCTAGTTTTTAACTATTATAGTGAGAACTGCCAACTCGTTATCGAATCTCCCATAATGTATCTTTAAGCGGTGGACACACTAGACGAATGATTCAACCGAATCAATCGGCGTCGAAATTTGCTGAATGATTCGCCCAAATCAAACATGTTTGATATATTCGCCTAGTGTGTCCGCTTCTCCGAAGCATTCGCCCGAATGTAGAATTCATTAGCCAATCACCACTCATCATCCAATCATATCTAAAAGTCAGGTGATTGTTTGAAGACATGGTCGCCGCCATGTTTATTCATGTGACATGAAAGGTAATGCAAAGGTGATCGGGCTAGGGTTCGTCTAGTGTGTTCACCCATTCAGCCAAATAAAATTCAGCGTCGATTGAATCGGCTAATGTGTCCATCACTTGAGCTTCTATCCATTTTACCGGGCAGGATTTCGGGGGGGGGGGGGAAGAGAAGGATGCTAATCCTTGGATTTAGAGGGAAACTTTAGAATATAGGGTCTGTGGTGTGGTTTCGATAAGCAATGACGCTAAGACTAAGACTGGTTTTTAAACTGTCTTTTGATTTGTTCATTGCTACGATCAAGGGTGGATAATTTGAATACATGAATACCCATGGATGAACCCAGGGTATATAGTGTAGATGAACGGAGTGAGACCACTGAGGATACTGAGGATGTGCCTGTATGTGACAAGGGGTGGTAGGGTCACCTGCCCAACCTTGTATCGGGTCCCCCAGTTTCCTTCCAGAGCTGAAGACTTCCACACAAAATGAATTATTGGAATGACTTAGTTTGTATCGAGTGGAGTTTAAACTCTCTCTTACTCCTGGCATCCCACTCTCTCTCTCCAGGGGGTCTTGGTGGCTAAGTGGGTAAGACGCTGGCTCGCTAGCCTGGAGGTCGGGTGTTCGATCCCTGCATTGGCCGAGAAATTTCATACAGTTTTCCGGCGTGGTTCCACCTTGTCAGTAATGCAGGACGGAGGGCTTGACAAAGGCAACTGTCTAGTCGTTTGGATGGTACGAAAAACCGAGGGTCCGTGTACACATTGGCATGCACATAAAAATCCCTTGACATTTGGAATTTGATATAAGAGTAGGCCGTAGTGCCACTGTCCGGGCAAAATTTCCCTCATAGCACACTGTATGGCGTATGCTCGTCTTCATTAGCCCAGTTCAGAGCAGAACAGTAGGAGGTTAAACCTCATTTCATTTCATTTTATTTCTCTCTCTCTCCTAGTTTGTGTCAAGTGGAGTTTAAAATCTCTCTGAATCCTGGCATCCCACCTCTCTCTCTCTCTCTCTCTCTCTCTCTCTCTCTCTCTCTCAAACCAGGCCAACAGATGAGATAAGAACAAGTTGATAACCTCCTCACTAATTACCTGTTTATCAATCTGTTTACGTCAATCATCACTATCTACTTGATATCACAACTAAAACCCTTTACATCACTCTGAGAAGAGTATCAATTGTCAAAACAACTTCTACTTATATACATATCTCTAAAGCATTGGTTAGTGCAAATAATTGTACTCAACTAAAGAGAGAGAGAGAGAGAGGGGGAGAGAGAGAGATGTGGTTTAACATCCACTAGACACAAACTAGGTCATTTTAGGACTAACATATGGTTTAATTTTATTTCAATAATTCGCTTGCGCGTAGGAGTCTTTAGCACTGGGAGGAAACCGGAGCACCCGGAGAAAACCCACGAGGTTGGACAGGCGACCCTCCTCTTTGTCACATACAACCGGGGAATCGAACGACTATAGACAACCAGCTGTACTCAACTAAAGAGTTTTTATCAAACCAAGAGGATATGAATTATCAAAAGAAGATCTAAATACAAGTATAGCATTACTTGGATCTACGAAATCAGTGCATATGTACTCAACAAAAAACTACTTCAGAAATAAAACAAATATACCATCCTATACTAAGGGTTCATCAAGTACTCAAATCCATTAGCAAAATGTAAAATTATAATAACTATTATTACATAATACTTTTAGTGCACTCTTTCGTATAACTTGTTCTGGGGCACTTTACAAAGTGACAATGTAATCATAAATAAACAACAAAATTATGGACATGTTAACGATTGTATACAGAGTCAGTTAAAAGCCTGATTAAATAAATGTGTTTTTCAGATGTTTTTTAAAAGAATATAGAGATATACATCTGAAACTAAATGGTAGATTATTTCGAAACAGGTGCTTGATAACTAAAAGAGCGTTGACTATAATCTTTAAGTGGGAAACACATTAATTAACAGAACACAATTTTTATGGGAAACAGTCACTAGTAGGGTGACCCACCATAAATAAATATCTCCAAATATCTTGACAATTACGCCACAATATTTATATATATGCCAAGCCTCAAATCAGTTTCACACAATTATAGTCACTAAATAAACGATCATGTTGTACTTAATAAGCTATGACCATTAATCATCTATAAATAATAGACTGAAAACTGGTTCCAAGTGTCGTCCATAACATCCAGACACTTTTGAGTAAAAGATAGGTTACGTGCCCTTGTTTTGAAATTAGTCTCGCTTAACCAGTCTATCGACCATTCTACATCTGATTGACAGGTCGGGATAATCAAGACTACTTTTTTTACGAAACATAACAGAAAGCTAGAACAAGAAATTGAATTAAGAAATAAGCACGTTAGCTAGCTCAACAATTGTTTTAAGAAGCTTGTAAAAGAAAAATGAAACTACTGCTAGTATCATGTTCCTGTCTAACCCGAGTGTTTCAGAGATATTATTTGTACTAAACCAAAAGATGCCGCTCTTAACGGTACAGTTAATGATAAGCGATTTAAAAAATGAAACGAACATAATTTCTAAATCTGCTGTAATAACCAAGAAGCTTAATTTTACTGCTATTCAAAACTGTCAACAATAAATTTTTTACGGCTGTAATAGTTGATAGATTTATAGAGAATTGCATGTGCCATGGCTATTTATAGCATCATACTGTCAGAGAGTTGGTCTTGACACAGCGAATGTGCACGCTTCAGTGGTAGTCTCGAACTATCAGCAGTGGGCTGTATTTCTGTAGAGTGCATGGGTCACCCTATCACTAGTTTTATACTAAAACCTGATGTACTATAACATGTTTTCACCCAATGGCTCCCTTTGAAGGTGTGCGTGAGTTAGTGGTATTTTACGTCCGCTTCCACTGAGGTGATACCTTTGAAGGTATTCATAATTAGTTTATATCATCCTTTGTCTGGACTGTTTAATTAGGAAGTCTATTATCTTGTTTTGTTTGTTGTTCAATCTGTTACTTCTTATTGTTATTGTAATTTAATCTCTGTAAATGGCTTCGTCATGCAACTCTTATATATTCAACTCAAGTTTATCAAATGTGGGGGGGGGGAATGGCCTAGTCATCTAGAGTGCCGGGCTTCAGCCTCAAGCTGTCCGGTCACCTCTGGCTTGCAGCTGTGGTTTCGATCTCTGGTGTGAGCGTATGTGACTTGGAGATAGGGATGCCTTCTCAACCTCATGGGTTTTCTCTGGGTACCCCGGTTTCCTCCCACATGCGCTAAGATAATAATAAAAAAAAAGATTTGTCTGCAATGTCACTTTCGGTGGAAGCGGACGTTAAACACTAAGAATAACAATAGCGATAAGAAACAATTGTCGAAATGTCGTGCTTTTTGAATAAAAACCAGTTCATAAGAGACTAGTTGAACAGTTTTGTGCTTTAAAAGTAGTTTATCTGATGTACATAATGTTTGGCCAGCTGTAGTACCAGGTGAGTGGGCTACCTAAATGGGAATCAATATAGGAAAACATTTCAAGATCCCAACCTTTGCAAAATGATTACATACAATTGTGTAGTGGTATCTGATGTTCCAAAAAGAGTGAGCATACTCCACCTCATTCATGACACCTATCAATATGTAAAGAATGTATTTCAGTGTTTTGCGGAACCTCTCTGGCTTGATACTGAAGATTTGGTAAGGTCGGAGCAAGCAGGTGTTTGCTCTTGCACAAAATTCTTAGAAGTGCAAAATTTAAAAAAAGAGAGAGAGAGAATTTATAGTCCATTTGACAAAACCTAGGTCATTTTGGGACTAACATATGGTTCAATTTGATTTCAATAATACACTTGCGCGTAGGGGTCTTTAGCAGTGGGAGGAAACCAACAAGGTTGGACAGACGACCCTACTCTTTGTCACGTATGACTGGGTAATCGAAACCATGCCATATGACTCAATGACAGACCTTATGATACAGTACGCACATGCTAACCATTCGGCTATCCAACCCCCAAATATTTAAAAAGAAATGAAATGAAATGAAATGGGGTTTAACGTCCTACTATATTTTTAAAAAAATCAAAAAACATAATGGTGATAACAAATAAATATAAAAACAGCTGTAAGCCCCCAAGTGAAACTATATATCTTCGATTTTTATTTAATGATTTATGAAAATAAAGAAATGGAAATACAAACCGAATGGGCGCTGGGAACTCACACTAAACCACAGACTGACATATTATATGGAATCGGATATCTCAGTACAGACATGGCTTAACCACAGACAGGCTTTATAAACATTTACAATACAATACACCGTAAATAATAAATATATTTAC